GTTGATTTTTGCTCGATCTTAAATTAAAATTATTTAGGGAAGCATGCAGGGAATTTTGATGTTTTTTGGCAGTACTGCTCGACTGATCGGCCCAATTGTTATTACGTAAGTCACTTTTCACAGTTATCACTACAATTTTGAAGAAAACACCAAGTCGAACCCTCGGCAATGATTGAAATTTGAAATTGGGAGAAAAAGCCAACTTGAGACTTTGATTTTCAAACTCGCTCGTCAAAAATGCGGGTCGAATAAACTGAAATCTGTTTTTAAACTTAGCTGTACTATGAACAATTCATAGCTTAAACCAATAGGTTGACATATTAAATACATAACGGAACAAACAGATAATTTACAGCTTTAGTCTTTTGGATGGGCAGATAAGGGTGGCCTGGAATCTGCTTTTCAAGCCCGTCGTTCCCCGACTTCGCACCCACCTTCAAAAATATACCAACTCCCGAGCGAAGAAAGCCAGCTGCATAATCGTTGGCAGTTTGCGTACGCGTTAGGCGTGTCAAAAAATTGTCACAATGAAGTACAGCCATTTCTTTCTTAATGCATGGGCACGCCCGTCCGTTTTGCCTGAGGGGTCATCGCGAGAAGGTGTAACCTCAGTGATTTAGCCTTGCGACACTGCTTGTTCAGTTGTTTCTCAGCTTATAATTTAACGAGCCAATTGACCAGCTAGCTAATTCTGAACGGGTGGCCCTCAATTCAGCCGCTTATTTACAACGGATGGTCCTCGCGGAGCTTGGATGGCAGAGCTGCTTGTTGCAACGGTCGTGTTCGTCCTTTGGATTGCAATGTTCAAGAGGATGGTACCGCTGAAACTGTACAATCAGATGTCCGTTGGTGATGTTGTGAAAAACAAGTTTGGCACTGTATACAGATTTTAAGATGTGGAAGTACCATAATTTGCCTGCACTTACTTTGATACTTTGTTCAGTTACAGTTCATTGTGCGCCTTTTTAGCTGTGCAGCCGCAAGCTGCTTGGACTATCCCCCGTTGGTCAGGCCTGCTGACCATCCCAACGGTGCCTGCATTCCCCTCCCCGTCCAATTTAAAGCATTCAGTAATTGCAGTGAGATCACGCGGGCTTGCCCGCTCAGAAAAAGCAGAGCAGCTTAGTATAATGCTTTAACTTAAGAGTCTGTAGCAAATTTGAAGAGTCTTTTTAATCATCGATGCACCAAGAGGTTTGTGGTTGAACGGACGAGAAACTGTGCCCTTGCACTGTACGCAAGAAAACGAAGTGGAGACTGGGTCTGCCCATCC